ACATCAACAATAGAGTGATGTCAAGAAACGGCAACAGAATAATGGTAAATGCTACCACATAGTCTAACAGAAACACAAGTGCAGGAGAATCAACTAGGCCAACGTGGCTACAGGTTGAACCAAGTAAGGTTGTAGCAGCCACCAGTGAGCATGTTGAGTAGTTACACACAAACACTTATGGGGCACAATAAGCATTCATTCATATTTCTTCTCACCTCTCGTTTACCTCTGTTTTTGGTCTCCACAGACCCCTGAAAGAAATATCTGACTCGTTTGCTGTGAAATTCTCCACTATGCTCATCAGGAAAGCTGCTGTCAGTCTGCTGGGCAGGTAGTGAACAATGTGTCTCCAGAGCCCTTTTTTTTTTGTGCTGAAAACAGTTTTACGAGAACATCGAGAACGAAGTAAAATGAAAGTTCCAGCTGTGAAATCAAAACGATGAGCCAAAGACAATAACAGCTCTGTAGAGCTGAGAGGAATCAGGTGCTGGTGACTCCTCCCACATTCAAGTAATCATGTAATTCACTGTTGAAATATATAAAAACATTGATTCTGTTTAAGCAAACATTAGTTTTATTGTTAGTTATTTTTTGAACAAATATAAGAGGATGTGTATTTTGGATTTTAAAGGTGATGTGTGGTTCCTTCTTGTGAAAGTTCCATAGTCCCTCTTTAACTGTTGCCATGTTGTTATACCAATCAGCTCACCACTCAGTTGTCAGTCTTCCAGTTTTTCAAACTCCCCAAACCCCAATCTTTCTTTCTCAATAGATTCATTACTGCAGTGAGATAGCAGCCTTGCTTAATAACAGACCATGCAATGCCTCCAGTGAACCACTCAGAGCATAGCAGCAGAAACTAATGACGCTCAGCATCAGTATTTATGTTGACTCTTGACTGTAATGACTACCTTTTATACCATGGTACTGAATGCCAAGAGAAAAAATGGTCATCCAATGATTCGTAATGACTTTAGAGAGTTTTTGGCATTCAGGTTCTTTCCCCATGCATTATATCTGCCTGCTGATAATAAATACAGGAAGGGAGCATCAAATGTCTGGTCCAAGGTCTTGGACAACTCTCTGACTTTAAATCAACACACCATGGACTAAGTACAGAGTGTTTCTAATACTCACTGCAACCATTTCTTGTGTAAGTCATTCCACTTTCTACTTCTTTACTGCCATACTCTTGACTCAAAATCATATTTTTAATATGTTTTATCTCTTTTAACTTTTCCCCCTCCGGAATTTTAACAACATTTTAATTGGAGACAGCACAGATCTTTATAATTTAAGCAGCTGTACACTGAGTCTCCATATTTCCATAATAACTCTGCTCATCTGCTGCACCAGCACCTTCAACACACTCTTCTCAGTTTGTAGTCTGACTCTGACCTGGCTGCTTTTCTATATACACCTCTATTTCCTTGCTGTCATGGTTGTACATGTTGATGAATGATTTCCTTTGTATGTTAATGTGAACTTTTTCATGCTGACCTTTGCACACTGAGGGAATTATAAACCATGAGGTATTTTCATTTTGGTCTTGTGTTAGCATAGCTTGGGCAAAACCAAAGATTGAAACTGATGCAGTCATAGGAGAGCGGCTCAGGGCTTGTGTTCACACAGGCAGTATGTCTCGGTCATAGCAAGTGTGTTGTGTTCCTGATGGGCTCATGCCCATGAGTGTTCCACTGACGGTGTGTACGTTTTGCTACTGCAGTACTGCATTGCAGGTGGTTAACCTTGGAAAACATCCCATGGATTACCATACTGAGTGATATCATGGTTTACACAGCAATATTCATACAGTTTAACATCGACATTAGAAAAGTAGGCCTGCTAAATTGAAAGTGAACATATGCTAAAGCATTAACACACATTAACCAATGTACTATACAATGTATTCTTTCATTGTAGTCTTTATTGTGTTTCCATTTTAAGCCCCTTCTCCAAAACCTCTTTAAATAATGCAAAGTTGGCTGTGAAGGCTAAGATATAGTGGCATTGGATTAAGATACATTTTCATACAGAGCTGATGTAGAGTAGAACATATTCTGGTCTGTTACACAGAAGTACAGTAATTTATCAGAACTCTCATATTCAAGTATTACTTCTGAACAGGAGAGGAATCTGCTTAAATAAGAAATTTATATTTAAAAAATTTTCTACTTGATCTAGTGTTTCCTGTCAGATTTCTTTAAATCCTCTGGAGCCCGATGGATCTCGTTGATGAACTGAAAGATTCCTGAACTGAAAGTTTCCTGAACTAAAATGACTCTGTGCTCAGCTCTGGTGAAGGTTGATTATGTCAGTAACTTAGAAGACAACCTGTGAAGCTCATTATTTTTAATTAGCCCCACCTTCTCAGCCCTTAACTGGGAGCTTCTGCAGATGCCACCACTGTCTGTCTGCAACAGTTTGCGTCCCCCAAAACTTTTAGCGCCACCATTCTCACACTACGGGTCTGATTGCCGGAGATTTTGTTTCCTGTTTAATGATCCCACTCTCCATACTGACTGATCTTTTTAATTACATCCCTTTGGACTCACAAAACTTTGTGCGCATCCTCAAGTGTGTGACATAATCCTGCGCTGCCTTCCAGATGCAGCCATCTTTACCCAAATGATGCTACTGAGGTTGCTTCTGGTCACAGACTCGTATATCCCTCCATCCTGCATCTATTATTCAACAGATCCTGTTCAATACTGTATTGAAACTCCCACCGAGTATCACATTCCAGCCCAGTGTCTCTTGGAATTACATTTTAATTGGATGACTCTGCAGCGCAAGATTAATGTCCAGTGCCAATGTTCAGGGCCAGCACAGGAAGCAGTGTGGCCTTTGTTTAGGGAGGTGTAAAGAAAACGTTTTGAGCTTGTGGTAGTGGATGGGCAGACTTTCACTGAGGAGAAGGTGGTTTATTCACTTCAACAATTGAAGCAGAATCAAAGAAGCTGAAGCCGAGATATCTTTCTCAGGGTCGGGTCAAGCACCAAAAATCTGAATTACATCCTTTGCGATAATGCACCTTGACCGTGAGACACTACCCATTGTGTTTCCCACAGAATTTGATCAGTCTGTGGCAACAGCTGTCCAGGGGTGGAGGTTGGGGAGGTAATTGCCCTGTGAACATACACTATCATACACACTTGATGCAAAGTGAAGGCAGGTGAGTCTGCCTGCTGAGGACTGTGTTTATGTCATAGCAACGGGCACAACGAAAGTAGCATCTATCGATATGGATGTTATGGTGAGAGAGCACGACAGCAGAGATTATAGTTGGATTAGAATTGTTTCCAGTTATATTTGGATCATTATGAAATTAGACTATGAGAAACAATTATGGGAAACACTGCTATCTGCCTGGTTAGTGTAGCCTGGAAACCAGACCAATCACTGAGCTCATGTTTAAATTCTCTCAAAGATGGGTTTGGTCCTGTTCCCATTCAGACAGATTTCCATCCTTACTGTAACAGGTCGAGCCAATCACAACCGTCCATTAGGAATTGGACAGTTTGGTACAATGACTGATGGAGGAAAGCTGCTGAAGAATGGATGGCTGCTGTGGAGAAGTCTGTTGAATCTGCTGAAACAGGATCGTTTGTTAATACGCTATGCCTCACCAACCACTCATTGCTCTTACTGGTTGTCCACTTAGTGACCAGTGGCATTCAAAAGTGAAATGAGAAGTTCTAGACTAAATGTTAAATGATGATGTAAGGCTTCAGTAATAGTAGTGCTGTGTAGTCCTTTACAAATTACACTGGGTCACTTGGGTGATGTCGAGCTCCACCCAAGTGACCAAAGACATTTAACTCTTTCATAGAGTAGTCCTGCCCATAACTAGTTAATTAGTTTATCTCCACCTGTCCATTCATTCATCCACCATCCATTTTCTGCTGATTATCCCAGCAGAGGGGTGCTGGGGTAATCAGCATGAATTGTAGGGACATTGTGATTCATGGTGATCCATAAATAAATTAGTTTTTAAAACATTCCTGCTGTACATTATTAATTTACCTAAAAGAACAGTTTCAGGCGACAAAGTTACTTAAGGACTGATGTACAAATATGGAACTGGGTTTTTTTTCTCTGTTCTACTCTCCGCCACCTATGTTTTCTTCCCTGAAACTTTACAAATCATGAATTTACATATTACTGTTCATCCTGCTGTTATATATATATATTTTTTTGTGTCAGCTTGGGGACCATGGCGACCCAGCTGCATTATGGGTCAGCGGGATGAATGGGCAAGCGGAGGCTAATGCGATAAAAGACAGACAGGTCGTTTCTCCTCACCATGGTCCTCACAGCCTGCACACTTCAACACACATACACAGAAGATAAGCACATGATACACACCCCCCCCACACACACACACACACACACACACAAAAAAAACTTGGATGACGAACGGCCTGTAGTGTGTAACATTGTTTAAAAGCGGTTTACAATGTGTTCACTGCTGTGGACACAATAGCAATCTTTACGTGCGTGTGTGAATGTGAATGTCTATTGTCTATTGAGGAACTGTCAGTGTAATCTGTGTTTATTCTCATCACTGATTGGCGTCACGTAGCTCTTCGTTTAACTTAACCACATCTGAAATTTCCACTTTGACATTGTGGTCAATCAATTCATGCGCTTTACATCAAGATGTCGTCACACTCAGCGACTCTGAAGCTGGATGTTTCATCTTCTTATTCTCTGCTTCGGTCCCAATCTCTTTAAAGTTCACATGCTGAACCTTTCTCAACAATCTCAACATTTTCCAGCAGGCCTCATGCTGTTAAAATGGTGAATTGGTGGCAATGACTGTCAGTCAGAACAGCTTCTTCCTGTTTTCCTTTGTACATTCCTTTCTTCAAAAGTTTATACATTTGAATGAGACAATGAGGTCACTAGAGAAAAAAGAAAAGAGAAAAAAATCCTTTGTTGTGCTTGTTGTATGTGTTCTGCCTGTGTTATATTCCTTAACTGTTGTCCACATGGTTTGAACGTGCGTCCATGTTGGTGATTCTGCTGAACTGTGTGACACTGGGCATGTTTCATCCCTGCGAGGACAGCGACTGCAAAACTGAGAGGTGCAGGATCCTGCAGGTAAGACCATCTTTGTTTAAATTCTGTGATTTTGTCTTCCATTTTGTGTAATACAGAAAAGCTTTTCTTCTAGAACCAGTGGTGACATGCAAAATGGACAAGAGTCTTTTTGTTTTCTTGATTCTCATGTATGTAAAGCACTGTTTGTTCTGTGATGTGTAGTCCCAGGTCAAGGGCCATAATTGTTGGATACTTTCCCACAATACAACATGTCACGTCTCATGACTTTTTCATATTATGAGACCCTGCCTGCACCCTGAGCACTCAGCCCATTCACAAGGTTTAAGAACAAATGCTTTGGGATACGAGTTTAGAGTCTATACAAACCCAAGCTCAGAAAACATAAAACTCCTCCTTCTACAGAGTTTGCAGTTGTCCTTATCTCCTAAATTTAGTGGACTGTCCCTTTTAAGCACTGTATGTATAGTGCCACTGTTAGTATCATAGTTAAATCTATTGCACCAGTGAAAAAAAAACGTTTGAGTTGACCAAGCAGTCAAACACATTCATCACTGAATAGTATCAGTCTATCTGTCTTTATCTTTATTTAATAAGACAAGCACAACCCACTGAAATGTCTTCCAGTGTGACAAGCAACAAGGAGAAAAACACAAATTCACATTAGAGGAACAACGTTCATGCACGTAGTAGATAAGGATAACAAATGCAGAGTAATGACTGGAAGACCATAGATACACTGTTTGCTTGTCAGACTTGATGTGACAGAGAGCAGGAGCACTGACTAAAACTGAGATGAATTATATAAAAATGATTTCAAAATATTTTGAATCACAGAGAGAACTACTGAAACAATATTCTCCGTCATATCTGGCTTCTGCAGCTCCCTCCATTTGTGAATAAATAACACCATTGTGTGGAGGCGTTTCCATTAATTTATAGTCCTTCTTTAACCCAGCAAACACTAATGGAGGAGCATGGTTTGTTGTTTTTGTTGTTGTACTGTCGGATGAGGGAATCAAGCGTGGTGAGGTGCAGTAGGACTCATCTGGCACTGCTCATCTTCTGGCTAATATGTGGTTCCAGACTGAATCAGAACAAGGACATCTTATTTTCTTGTTCACTGATTCTATGAAAAAGAGTGGCTATGTTCATTTAAAGGAATAGAGCCCGTTTTTCAGCAAGTAATCAGACTTTAGTTTTCTCTAAAATGGATGCATACACATCTTTTTCTCTCATGGTATCGAAACATTATTTAAGAGAGGAAAGCTGATGAAAGGAAAGGAAACAAAATGGGGGATGGAAGAAAGGCAAGTAGAGGAAATTAGAGAAAAGTAGAGGAAAGAGAAAGATAACAAATGTGAAAGAGAAGTATAACAAATGTGAAAGAGAGGAATGGAAAGAGAGAAAAGAGAATAGGAGTGAGAGGAAGATACAGAAAATGAAAGGAAAATAATGGAGAGGGGAAAGAGAGACAGCGAAGAAGAGGTGGGGAAAAAGATGAGGCAAATAAGGAAATGGAAAAGACAAAGGAAAGGAAATACCAGAGGAGAAGAAAACATGAAAGCTACTTTGGAAAACGATTTGAGATGAAAACCTGAGGAGTCTCGTTTCCTGTCGGCTGTTGCTATGCAGCCTGCACTCATCGACTTCTTCCTCCTCCTCTGCTCAACAATATGAGATGAGGTTTAATCCATCATCTCTCCTCTCAGGAGCGCAGATACATGTAGAGCCTAGAGGTTAAATGCATTTTCATTAATTCCTCGCTGCCTCCATTTCAGCCTCGCCCATCACTCCCCACATCGATACGTTTCGAGAGGGCAACAGTTCACAACCTGCGTCCTCTCTGGTTTGACTTTGATCCATCTCATGCTATATGAAAGATATTGACTCTTCAGATATGAACTATTGACACGCTCTCATATTTTTTGAGCTTGCTTTGACTAAATGACCTTCTTACATTAAGTATATGATGGCCTTTGATAGCATGATCAGTGTCTCCCATTACTTATCTAGACTGTGGCGGCCTGCCAAATTCTAATTTGTCTCGCCACAGTTTCAATGAACCAATACGTTTTACACCCCTCATGTCTTACTCATGTGTGTGTGGCGCTATTTGGTGTGTGCTCCCCTGCACTGTTACACTCCTGCATGCTTGTTTTATGGTCCATAATGTTTTACTGTCCACACAGTAAACGTCAGACGTAGCTTTTCGTAAGAGTGACTTTGGTGCATATGCACCCCTGTTACCGCCATAGATTTGATAAATTCTCGTCGAAAACACTGATGGTGTAGTTGGAACTGTAGTTTTCCTGTTATAACAATGCAGTTAAATTAGTTTCATCTAGTGTGTATACTGTATACAGCACAGACTGGGCCTCACAAGGACACATTACAGGCCCATTGCACCAAAGTTCACCTTTTATTCTATTTAAATATACAGACCACTTTCACATGACGGCCATTTCCCTCTGACGTCACTGTGCAGCTAGGTTCAATCCAAAGTCATACATACTCTAATCTGACAAACTGTTTTAATTTCACAGGTCATTTCACAGATTCCTAACGCTAACATACTTGTCAAATGAGCTATCAAATATGTTGATTAACCTTGAAACATGGTCCCTTGTTCTTCCAGATTTCAACTTTCCATTGTCTTTTCAGTTGCTGATCAGTTAGGGACTTTTTTATTTGAGCTTATATCTATAGCAGTCTTGGAGGAAATGAGAGTAGGTAAAAGTTATTTATAGGGCACTTTGCCCAGACATAAGTCACAAAGTCCTTTACAGAGTAGCATTTAAAGTACAAAGCTAAAAGCCACTTTACACAATATAATACTATATATGTCTTATAGCACAACACTAATGCCACTGTGCTCCACAGTTACTCGTGTTAGTGCCTGAACTCTCAGATCCAACATGGCCATGCTGGCATCAGAGCTAATGAGAGAGCTCAGCCAGGTTCACTGCTCTCCTCTGTGATGCTCGCTAAATGAGCTCTCATCTCCTGACACAGCTAATGGCCACTGCAATGATCACAGGCCAGTGTGGAGCTGCAGCGTGGATCGAAAAGTGCAAAATTGTTCAAAAGTTTAGGCTTTTTAAAATTTCTTTTAATGACAAAATGAATACATTTTATATGTGTCAGATTTATTGCTGCATGCAATCAAATCTATCATTTGACTAATTTTGTTTAACAAACTTTAAATTATATTAATTTCTCCTCCCATTGGAGGTTCAGTCTACTGGTGATATTGCATATCATGAATCAATGCAACAATCTAAAGACTTTTTTTTTTAACCATTTGTTACTTTTCTTCCTTCATTTTAGACTCTTTTCCAGTTTACCCCACCACCACTGTTACCAATGCTAGTTGTGTTGCTCCAGTTATGTCAGTGTCTGTCAGATGGTATTTCTGGACTAATATATCGTCACAACTACTGAATGCATTGCAATTATATTTTGCATTGTCATTCACTGCGCCCAGAGGATTAATTCTAATAACTAAGCTGAGCCTGTGCCACCTGGAAAGTGGGAAAAGTTTAGCCCTGACATTTTGATTTTTTTCATTAAGGGAAATTAAAATGCTCATTGCCACTAACTATCATAGTGTGTGTTATCATGCTAACATGAAGAACTAAAATGACGAGCATGTTGAACATCATATCAGCTAAACAAATAGAACATAACATCACATAGTAACACATCCAAGTGCATTTCATATACAGTTAGAGTGAAAGATTAAGGTTTCTTCGACTATATAGCAGCTTTAATTTAAAAGATTGACTCTATTTACCCCTAAGGAGATAATTCAATAAAACACAATCTGCTCTGAATGCAAACAGCAAGAAAAAATGTAACCTTCAACACGCCCCCCCATGCCGCTACAGTACAAAAGTATGTCAATGGAAAGCTAATAACATTTTGCCTGTACAATGGGAGCCCTGGGTCATAGAACGATGTACAGAAAGAGGAAGACAGAAGAAGGGAGAGGAGATGGCAGACAGAAGAATAGATTTTGATGTCTTGCTGAGATGGAGCTTCCTACAGTTGTGTTCAACCGGAGTGCTGCTGCTACATGGAGCTACTGTAGAAGCTTTCAGGTCTGAATGGAACACACACACACACACACGCACACACACACGCACACACACGCACACACACACACACACACACACACACACACACACACACACTGTAGTTCACCCCCATGTCAGCCTGGCATGTGTCTGGAGGGTGAGGAAACGTCAGAGCTTGTGTCTGCGTGAATGTGTGTGCAGCGTTACAGCCATTGGTGGTGATCGAGCTGAAAAGTCTCTCTCACAATATTATCTCCCTCCACCTGTGTAGAGTGGATCTCACCTGAATGGCAGATTACAGTCAGCCTGCTGTATTGTCCTCACCACGATGCATCCACCGTATGGCACGTATGGCTCTCCGCCTGGCTGTGAGCATGTGTGATGAAAGTATCTGACCCCTGTCATAATGGCATTCAGACTCGTGACAGGCAAAATTAGCATACATAGTGGCTAAGATTTATTTTCAGGAGAGGGTGCAAGCAAATGTTTTCACCAATGAAAATGATGGCACCTGTGTTTTTAAACACGTGCACACACACATACTGCATGTACAACTTTCTGTTAAGATGCCCTTCGGTCAAGAACATAGGAGTCAACTTTCTATGTTTTCTGTGTTTATGTTTCTTTAATGTAAATGTATGCACGGTGTGACGCTTTGCTCGATCAATGCTTTTCCTGTTTAATTGCAATACAAATTGCGTCAGGAAATGTCAGCTGAGCAGGTGACAGTGTTTGATCGATCACCTTGCACGCTGCCTTTGCGGTAATTATTTAAAACAGCATGCTACAGTGTAGGAAACAAAGGAGTAAAAGGTATAGTCCAGGCACAGTGGGTTTCTGCCGAGATGATAAATGTCTCCGTGTGTAGCTATTAGCATTATGATGGTACTTCACAAATCCTCTGGCATTACAGCAGCTCCATTTGCAACTTCACATCAACTCAACTTTAACAGTTGATGATGA